AAATTTTTTCATCATTTTATAACTTTTTAGAATATCTCAAACTTTTTTATACGAATCTTACAATATTCCAGAATTCACATTTATGAAAAATTCTAAAAAAGAAATAGATTTTTTGAGTTTGTATTTCTGAAATGTATTTCAATTCCTATTATAGCTTCTATTCACTCTAATGAATGCGTTAAAGTAGCTGAGAAAGCAGCTTTGCAATTGTTGTAAAATTCTCGAATATGATTGGTTTATCCATTTAGATCCAATGAGGAACTAATCGCAATTATATTTAAGAAATTTACAGTTGCAAAGCCGTCTCTGCTGAACGCAGCCAATGAGTAGAAACTCGGGTAGCAGCATGCAACGCAAAAAACAGTTGGTAGTACTATTTAGTATATGATAAAAAGAGACTGAACCTAAATGATATGCGTGCGACGAAGACAACAAAAAAGTTGGCTAAATTGGGAATACGAACGATGACCGAGCAAGCGAGAGGGTAGAGAATTAGAGAGAGACGCTTGCAAACTGCACGCACCATGTAATCCTTCCCCCATGGTACAAAGCCAATCAGGAGCAAATCCAGGCGAGACTGGCCAGACCGTGTATATATAGGGATATCAGGTGTGCATTCTAAAACTCAACTCTCCACTCCGAGTATCTTTTATCATTGTTCAACGTTCGGTGAAGAACAAGGATAAAAGATACTCGGAGTTGAGTAAGTTGAGTTTTGGAACGCATCCCAGAGAGACCGTAACGTGGTAGCACTGGCAGCGCGCCCTTCGAAAACAATAGAAAGTGAAAACATGAAAAATTCGTCGGAGGTTCGGAGTCTACGGCTGACATCATCCGCTTGCAGCAAGTTCAGAATGCCGATATCGACTCGAAAAAGTAAGTAGATCTAACGTTGTATTCCACTTTTCGCAATGCTCGCATGCAATAGCTGCTTTCAAGCAGAATGTTCATTTTGTTGCTATTGCAAGTTTTCTTTGCTTAGATCAGTGCCGCGATTTACTTGCACATTTTGGCCGATTTTCAACTTGATTTCTGCTCCTTACTTCACTAACCCGCGCGTAACCTAAATGCCGGATCGACATTTAGGCTGCGCGCGGGTTAGTGAAGAAAGGAACAGGAACCAAGCTGAAAATCGGCCGAAATGTGCAACTAAATCCCAGCACTGGCTTAGATAATATTACTCTGGAGAGAGAGGGGGAGGGGGAGAGGGAGAGGGAGGAGGAGGGAGAGAGAGAGAGAGATCAGAAAGTATAATTGAAGCTGCGTTCGGAAATGCACCAGGTATAATTTTATCCTTGTTATTCATCGAATATTAAACAAAGATAAATTGATTCCTGAAGGCACTCAATTTTCGAACGCAGCCTCAATCAGCGCGAAGAAAATTTACAAATTGCAAGATAAACGTTTTGTTGAACGCGACCATTCTTATTTATAAATAAGACGCTCGCGAGTGTTACGACATATGAAAAGGAGACATTTGCACTTTCTGTGATCACAGAAAGTGATCACAGAAAGTGATATGTTCCATTTCATGCATGATCCGCATGATCATTTTTTTCCTTGTTTACCGTTCGGATTGGATATTCTTGTAGCTTACCTCGAGAGCTGTCCAAAATACTATAATAAAATCAAATAAAATATTATAACAAGGCTAAGGAGTCAAGCCGGATGATAATGCTTAATATATAATTAACAAAATTAAAATAATAAAGTTGACGTTTATTATTGAAAATAATAAAACATACGTTTCAACCTTTTAACATCAGGTCATCTTCAGTGTCACTAACTAAATTAGATTTTACATACTCGAATATTTTACATTATGATCCGAAGTCTACTTTTCAATTTACATCGATGTTCCAACAACGCTGTGTATTCCCATACTGTGGTTGAAGAGCATTCGGTGGTGTGACTCCATGTTTTCGTACCAAATATACATGTATATAATGATTATTGTCTAAACGGCTAATTAAGACAAAAATATGCCGAATTTACAACATTTACACAATTTAGGCAATTTTGGAAAAATTTTATCACATACGTAAGAATCTCTGTATATACATGTATATTTGGTACGAAAACATTCACACCACCGAATGCTCTTCAACCACAGTATGGGAATACACAGCGTTGTTGGAACATTGATGTAAATTGAAAAGTAGACTTCGGATCATAATGTAAAATATTCAAGTATGTAAAATCCAATTTAGTTAGTAACCTGATGTTAAAAGGCCGAAACATATGTTTTATTATTTTCAATAATAAACGTCAACTTTATTATTTTAATTTTGTTAATTATATACTAAGCATTATCATCCGGCTTGGCTCCTTAGCCTTGTTATTATATTTTACTTGAATTTATTCGTTGGAGCCTATATCGAAATTGAAGTTAAAACTATAATAAAACATTTTTTCATTAAGTACTTTTTTAATTATGATGCTCGAAAGTTACAGTACCTCCGGCATTTAGCATTATTCAAGGTGTCCGACCGACAGCTAAAACCTCACGTTGTTTAAGATCATGAACTAGATAACATTTGTTAAGATCAAAACCATTGGAGGTTGTTCCTCTTATTTTCATTTTTACACTAAAAATTAATTTTAACGTAAAAATAAAAATAAGATGTACAATTTCCAATACCCTTGATTTTGATAAATGTTATCCAGTTCATGATCTTAAACAACATTTAAGAGGTTTTAGCTGTAGGTTGGATACCTTGGATAATGCTAAATGCCGGAGGTACAGTAACTTTCGAACATCTTAACTAAAAAAGTGCTTCATGAAAAAATATTTGATTATAGTATTTTGGCTCTTGAGGTAAGCTATAAGAATATCCAATGAAAAATATCCATTTAAGAAACTGAAGGTGACCTTCACGTGAACTTCAAGCAACTATTCCAGGTCAAACTAATAACACCATCTTATGTCATTACAGCAAAAAGTGAACCTGCAACGGTCGGCGTAAAAATAAGGCATACGTCCGCGCCAGAGCATACATCCGCGCCAGAGCATACATCCACGCCAAAGCATACATCCGCGCCAGAGGATACATCCGCGCCAAAGAATACATCCGCGCCAAAGAATACATCCGCGCCAGGGCATACATCCGCGGAATATACACCAGGACATACATTCGCGCCAGGATATACATCCATGGCATCCGCGCCAGGACATACATCCACGGCATCCGCGCCGCCTGCACCAGGATATACACCTGCTCCGCCTGAACCAGGATATACACCTGCTCCGCTTGAACCAGGATATACACTCGCGCCGCCTGCACC